TCTCAAAATCTCCTACTGGTTGCTGGTGTCGCTGAGGGTGTCCAAATCATCTCTGTATCAGAACAGCGAGTGATTAAAAAGATTCCCGTATCTCAGCTAACGCTTCCTGGGGCACCCATGGCCATCTCTTCCACCATGTATAAAGACCACATTGTGGACATTCTGACGCAACCCTTTTTGGCACACTCATCTCATCTAAAAGGAAGCACCAGCAAGGCCGCCCACATTCGCATCGATTTTTCGTCTGCGAACAAGCCACCAAAGGTTGATTTCGAAATGCATCATCTTGGTGATATTTCAGCTAATATGGACCTCGATGTAGAGGATGGTGAAGACGGAGCCCAGACAGCATCTACCACACTTTTATATTCGTATTTTGGCATTGTTCGATCTCCATTCTCTGGATCATTTATTGCAACACTTTCGGGGTATATTTGTTTCTTTATCATAGACCTCTTTTCAAGTCTCACGAAACGCTTCAGAACAAAGCAATTTTATCAATAAGCATTGATGGACCTGCATATCCCAAAACCTTCACTGCCCCCCTGCTGGCGAAGGTGTGCAGCCTTCATGGTCAACTCGAAGAAGATCAAAAAATTGATTCTGCTAACTATTTACAAATGAATGGCGAGGACAATCTAATATTTCCTAAATGTTTGGACCATGCTGATGGGAGCTTTCCGAAGCGTGATTTTAACCGTCCTTTTTATGAAGTTGGTGCTTTAGTAAAGTCTTTTGGATGGGAGCTTGGTATGACTTGTAGCCTTCTTGCCGGAGGCTGGGGAGAGGCTGAATGCGGGGGCTTCTTGGAAAAGGTTCTTGTTCCAGCTCCACCTGAGGAGTCTCCTTTGATGCTACACCTATCCAGACTCCAAAGAAACATTTTTATCCTTTACGCCGGTGGGGTCCATTTGGACGAATTCAATCCAATGCTAAGAGATAGCGAAAGACAAATTTTGCACCTGCTTAATGGTTATTTGATTGCGAAAGTGGAAGCCAACTCCCATCACGCTCATGGGAATATTGATCCAAACGAGGAAAATTTAAGGAACTGCTCCCATTGCTCGAACCCTCCATTTCGCCTTTTTAAGCCTTTGTTGCAAAATTCTTCTCATGAATTCATTGTGAATAACGGGTTCGATAGTCTTTGTTCTTATCAAGAGTCCAACTGTATGTGGTGCGGTGTCCAAACCAATCTATGTCGTAAAGGTCTCAATTCTATCTGTCCTATTTGAGAGGCAAAACAAATGATTGCAGGATGTCGACAATTTAAAACTACACTCAAGACAGCTCTGTACTCAATGGCAATATCTAATTCACGGTGTTATCAGAGGCATTCATATAAACGCGGCTGTATATAAAGATTACTGGTTCTGAAATTGGTTATTTGTTAGATTTTAGGTCGCTCAATTTACTTGACAATAACCTTCGATCGAGGGCCTAGTTGGCACTAGTGCCCCTAACAATTATTTGATTACATATTTCTATATAAAGGGTTTTAGGTGTTGCATGCCATACTGCATAGTTATCTTTGATGCTGTGGGTATTTTTTTACCTTCAATGCATACCCACATCGAACAACTAAACCCAAGCAATGGATGCTTATAAATTTAGAACAAACCTTTTCTGTTTCTCCTAT